TGGCTGTAGAGAAGATGTGGGAGGGAAGGCAGAACAGCACTGCTGCCTGTGACATTTCCAAAAGTATAATTTTCAAGCTGCCTCGCTGCTCTTTGGATAGTATCAGATTAATATGATCCTGATTCTCTGGTCATTGTGGTTGACTCTCCCACTGTCTGGCAAAGGCTGTAGTGCTGGGCTGGACCAGGGGCTGCCTGCTTCTTCACTCAGGGGTAGCCCTGGGCAGCTCTAATATCTCCTCAGCCTTTCCCCATAGAGAAAGGGAGTGATGGAGTGCCTTCATCACTGTTGCTGACAGTGCTACCTTGTCAGGAAAACTGCATGGAGCCGGTGAGGAGAACAGCTCAACTCTGTCCTTGCAGACAGTGTGGATGCTGCTGGCTGACGAGACTCCTGCTTGGAAGGAAGGAGAGCCATGGGAGAGCCTTTCAGAGTATAGATGCAACATGTTCAGTGCTCAGAATGGACACAGACATTTGTATTAACAAATAGGCTCTTTTTATAGTTAATATCGATGGTATGTTTGTCCATAGCACAGGCTGAGTTATTCACAGAAACAGCCACTGCATCACTGTTCAGAAAAGCTCCAAAGTACTTTATATAATGTTTTAAGATCACAGGATAGTACGTTAGGAATTACCCCAAGTTACCCTTGACTATTATTCTGCATTTTTACTGTACCAAACTGTCTTCTTTTCTATATCTCTCTGCCCATTTCCCTGTCAAATGGAAAGTAAACCTAAATCTTAAAATCTGTACTCTCCCTTTCTTTTGCTTCATTTTTTCCCTTTAACCTTACCTGGAAAATGTACTGGTGAAACCAGTGGGAATTCTTCCAAATAAAGCCATAAATCAGCATTATACATCAGAAAACTCAACCTCTTCGCCTACTTAACAGCAAAAAATATGTACTATTGCCAAGATAGATTTAAAGTCTGGGTAGCTGCTTTATTCCCAGGAGTTGCTAATGGCAGTGTATATTTTGAGTCAGAGCAATAGTCACACCTATAAAAGTGATCAGTGACTGCTTGATATCCATGATATTTTCTAAGTTTGTCTCGGGCTTGTGCAGTGAGTCCAGCACTCACCTGACTCTAAGAGTGGCAACAAAGAGGCTGTAGGCTTAGAGGGAACTGGATCTCAGCCGTGACCAGCCAGAAGAGATGGGAATGAGAGAAGGAAAGTGATAGAGAGCCATGACTGTGCTGTAGGAATTAATGTCCAGATTTCTACTTACCCACACCCCTCTCCTAAAAAAAAAAAAAAAAATTAATAGGAGAAACTTGGAGAAGTCCACAACTGAAAATTATGTCTTTTTTCAAATTATGTTCTGTGGAGGATATTGGGATGAACTGGCTGAATAGCATGTTCTAGTCCATGTCAGGTCAGGGCCTACTGTCATCAGAAATGTTTTGGAAAGCTGGAAACCTAGTGCAGCATATCCATCGTGTGTGTTCCTTAGGACTCTGGAGAATGGGATTTTTTTTTTCCTAGACCTGGAAATACATCTGGAGGCAATAAATTGTCCCTGTATTATTGCAGGGGTAGAATATCCTTTCTGAGGTGTGCTATCCCTGTGGTGTCAGGACTGCCACTGGAAGTTCTTGAGGTTTCCCACTTTTGCAGAAGTGGGAAGGGGTTGAGGTAGTCGTGAAGCATCAGAGTTCAGCTCTGAGGCTTTTGAGGGTTGGTAGGTCTTGTGCATGGATAAGCTTGTCAGCATTGACTTGAGCTGGATGACTGAGAGGCTGAGTCCATTTATGGGACCCAATGTTCATTGGGAAATGGGAGTGCACCCTGTGGATCAACTGAGACATGGTTACTGCACAGATCTTGGATGGAGTTGGGGCATGAAACTAAGGATAACACATGTAGAAAGTCCTCCTAAAAAGTAAGCCACAGAAAAAAAAAAACAACACGGAGCATAAAGGAGGTCAGACTCTGGATCTCTTTATTGGCAAAGAAATGACCATTGGAACGATGACTAATAGATGTTTGCTGTGCTTAGTTTCACAATTACCCAACCTCGATTATGCCCTACTCTTTTAGACATAGCCATGTCCTGCTAACCCGCTTGTGCTAGAGGGGCACTGCCATGATCTGTGTTCCTTAAAATTTAGGAGGTGCTGTGCAAGCAAGAACAGCAAGGGAAAAGTGATATCAGGGCTTTGTGAGGCCCTGAGGACCATGTCCTCAGCAGGGTCTGTGTCAGCCTGGTGTATGTCCCGTGGCTGGTTACAAATCCTGATGCTGCAGGAGATGTCCTCTTTGCCCCTTGCCACAAAGGTGTGATTTCTGCTCTCAGAGCAAAGGACAATGAATATTTCGTTCCCATAAAATCATAGAATTTGGGTTGGAAGGGACCTTAAAGATCAACTAGTCCAAGCCCCCTGCCATGGGCAGAAGCACCTTCCATGAGACCAGTCTGCTCAAAGTGTCATCCAGCCTGGCTGTCACTCACTAGAGGGGCCTTTCACATCCCATTGCCTAATGAAGTACCTCTCTTTTGAAGCAAAACCTTGGCTGCTTAGGAAAAGCTGTAAGTTAGCCTCTCACATTGCTCCACTGCAAGGGAGATCTTTATGTTCTTTTCTAAAATTTTTTACACCAGTCTATTCCAGCTGATATTTTTATGACTTGTTTTTTGAACTGCACCTTAAATGCAGAGCTCTCAACATCCCACCACAGCTGGGCTGGCCAGAGGTGCAGGGTAGGGACGAAGAGATGTGCACACCACACAAAACCCACTCCTCCTGGTTTGCCTGCAAAGAATTGTCATCGCAAAAGAACAAAAGTAATTCAAACCAAAATTGCCTGTTCACTTTTTGTATGTGGAGAAATGCAGTGTGCATAGTCCCAACAGAGGCATCTTGTGACAAGAGCTGAATTTTGCCTTTGCATCTTGAAAGCTGGAAGTCACACGGGCCCAAGGAGTAACGTTAAAAAAGCCAGAACCTGCCAAAAGGAATTCACAATAAAGGGAGAGACTTTTTCTCCTCGTGACTAAAACACCTGTCACAGCTGCCAGGACTCTGCTAATTACACAATAACTTCATTATATCCCACTTGGAAGAACAAACAATACTTGAAGCTCCAAAAATGAGCAGCCTTTAGACTAGATTAATGCAGGCAGAACGACTGCATGGAGCCCCATCCTCCCAGTAGCTCCAGAGAGTAAAATGGCTTGAAGACTCCCCTCTTCTTTGCTAGTGCTACATAATAAAGTAATTGTGCAATTAGAAGTAGATTACTGATGGGAGATGAGCATTTTCTATGCAACATAGGTAAAAGGCTGGCTTCTCTGCATAGGTTTGATACCTCAATGCAGCATCTCTGCTCCTCTGTACTTGAGCTTCTGGCAGCTCCTGATAGCATCCACACAGGAGAAAAGGAGCATTACTAGTTGAGTGTGGTTTCTCTTCCCATGTGAATATATTAAGGAGGTCTCATGGAGGATTTCACTGTGGTCTCTACGTTGTCCAACACTAATGCAGCAAGAATGGCTGCAACATGGATTAGAGGGTCTAAAACCAAAATAAAACATAAGCCCAAAATTGAAATACAGCTGAATGCTGTGAAATATCTCTGTGAAGGAAGCAGGTCTTGGCTCTCAGATATGGATGCTCTTTCCTTCATCACTTCTTTTCACCTAAGGGAACCAGCCTGCTGTTGGTTAGGGCAAGATCAGAGTTGTTGCTCTTGGGCACGGTCATTTAGTGTAAGAAATCATGGCTGGAGCAGGAGTCTGAAGGAGCTGGAACATGGTTGCTGGACCTCTGCAGGACAGAGATCAATGTGGGTGCACTTGGGCACACTGGTGCTTTGGGGACCTTCTCCATGGAGGTAGACAAGGATGCATAAGTGGGTGCTGGAGGACTGGGGGAAGGCATGTGGACCGTGCTGAGGGCTCCTTGTTCACAGAGCTGCAACTTCAAGACATTGCACAGGGGTCAGTGCAGAGGGACCACCTTGAGCTATCCACCAGGTCCCTCTCTCAGCCTGGTGGGGATTGATAACAGGTCCCATGACCAAGCAACAGATGGGGAATTGGGAGTTAAGAGATACTTGAGATGGTGGCAGATGAGTTAGACGAGACGAGGAGCGGGGAGTCTTCTGGGTTTGTTGCGGCTCAGCCTAAAGGTTGTGGGACTGCCTTCTCCATATCTTGCTGAGGGCTCTCTTCTCTGCCATCCTTGGGTGCCTGTGGCCTCCAAAGGGATGCCAGCATGGCAGAGGGGTCCTCCTTTGGGAAACTGCCTCTGTGCCCTTGCTCCAGTGAGAGCAATTAATGCAGACCAGAGAGGCTGTGGAGGAATGAGTCTTCCATTGCTCCCATCTTGGGGGTCTTGCCTCATTTTCTTGCCTGTTTGATGGTGTTGTCAACTTTTGGGGGTCAGGAGGGTAAGAGGGAGGTGTTGCCAGTTGTGGTGATGGTGGTGGGAGGCAGCATGAGCTGAGCAGGATCTGCTCCAGTGCATTGTGGGTCCCTGTAGGTATCAGCCTGACTGAAGGGCTCTGTGTGCCCAGGTGAAACTGGAAGAGGGGAAACAATATGGGCAACACGTTGGGCAACAGAAATGGCCTGAATATGGTTTTGGGGTGAAATAACTCTTTGGGGGTGATGTTTCTCTAGTCTAAGCTTGGTCGTAATTCTGACAGGATATATGGACATCACAGTGACTGATTTCTCTTGTGACAGCCCTAGGAGAGGACTTTGTAGATGACTCACCTTTGATGTGGTGTCACCTGTAGCTACTTAACCCTTCAAGATTGTTAATCTGGTATCCCAAAGCCAGGAAAGAAAACTTGTAGCATCTTCCCTGCCCTGTGAGCTGCCTGGAGAAATTAGCCCTGGGGATGGGACAACTGCCAGGACTGCTAAGACAGGCATCCTGTCCAGGAGCAGGTGCCAACCTGCAGCAATCCCTACCCGCGTGGTCAGCAGGTCTTGTCAGCCCTTTCCCCCTGTTGTACCTGACAGGTGTGTGTGCTGTTTGCAGGTCCCGTGGCAGTGATCAGCGGAGAGGAGGATTCAGCCAGTCCTCTCCACCACATCAACCATGGCATCACGACACCCTCATCCCTGGATGCTGGCCCGGACACAGTGGTGATCGGCATGACCCGCATTCCCGTCATCGAGAACCCCCAGTACTTCCGACAAGGTCACAACTGCCACAAGCCAGACACGTGTGAGTGCCCGATCCGGAGCCCCCCGTGAGGGTCAAGGGATGGGCTGGGGGGATGGGGGGAAGGAGGACGAGGAGGAAGAGGTTAAGAGGATGAGGAAGAAGAGAAGGAGGTTTTTGAGGAGAGTGGGTCTTGGTATGGTCCAGAAACCAAAGTGAATCTCAGGTCTCAGAAATCACAACATACATGTAGATGCTTCCAGAAAAGACTTTCCACTCTCACCTTCACCTCCCTTCACCCTCCCTCCGCCACCCACCCGTCACCTTCCCCCCTTGCCTGAAAGTGCCATTCCAAGCCAGGCTCTTCCTCATCAGCTCCAAGCATGAGGTCCCAGGTGTGAGCAAGAGCCACCTGAGAGCATGGGGATGGACATGACCCATGCTTGGCTGGGGAAAGGACCTGCCTCCCCTTCCTCCTCCAGCAGTTTCCCAGTCATAGGGCTGCCTCTTTGGCTCCACAGTGGGCCAGGGAGAAGCTCAGGACTCGTGTACATAGGTGGGGCAGATGTGTGGAGATATCTTTATCTTCAGGGGTTTTAGATGCTGGATGTCTTGTTTTTATGGGCTTCTGTAAAGCTTTTACACCTTTCCTGTATAAATCTGGGTCATGAACTGAGCTCATTAGACTAGCAGGTGGTGATCAAATGGTCCTCTCCAGTTTGTCTTACTAAATTCTGAGTATAAAAGAAAAGTGCTGTGTAAAAGGATGCTTTTCTGGGAGTCCTGCACCACTTCCCACGTGAGTGGTGGGATGCAGCCCTCCCCAGCATGCGGCTCACAGGTGGTAGTTGAGCTCTCCCAGGCCTCTTGCCAGCTCTGAGATGCAAGCCAAGCAATGCAGGGGTTTGGGTAACATTCTTCTCTTATTATTGCTCATCCTTTTAGTGTGTCTTGGTTCCGGGTAGAACTGGAAAAATAAAAGGCTTGGAAAAAAAAAAAAGTGGTGAATAAGCCTCAACTTGGGCTAACTGTGGCTTAACCAGAAGCAGGGAGTGCTGCGCTGGCCACCCCTGTTCATCTCATGGCTTCTGCTGACTCATGGGTGTAGGAGACATAACTCAGCTCTTGGAAACAGGGAGAAGGCTGATTTCCCAACCTGTGGGAACCCATTTGGTGTTAAGTGCTCAGTAGGAGCACACTGCTCCTGTTCTCCACTCCTCTCTCAGGGGAAGGGGAGCTGCAGCTGCTGTTCCCTGGGAGGTGTCCGTGGGGCGGCCCCTGCTGTGTACCCTCCTGAGTCCTGCTGGCTTGTGCCCAAGCCCATATCACCACCCTTCACTTGCCAGAGTGATGGGATGTACTCAGTGAATGTGCCTGGCTTTCCCCTTGATTTTCATTTTAATGTGCTAAATTTGGTCTGTTTGTAGGGAGGGGAGGATGAGGGCGGTGATTAGGCAGGAGCAGAGAAGCTGAATGTAGCGTGTTTTTTCTGTGCTGTTAATTATATATTTTACATTTCTTATAGCACCTCATCTCAAAATGATTTACAAACTCTGATGGCTTGGAGGGGGGGGCTCCCCCGCTTTACTTTTTTTTCCTTTCCCTCCTGTGCTGTCTCAAATCTCTTTAATCTATGTGCCGACCATTTCAAGACGTGGGTGCTGTTGAGGCTGTGCAGTGGCAGAGCTTAAACCTCAAAGGATTAAGTTTTGCTCTGAGTGTTTGCCCCGTGGGGTTTGTCAGAGCTGTGTAGGTTGCAGAGGAAGTTGCTCACAGTGGGATTTGGTTCACAAAGATGCTTGGCATGGCATCTGGAGGTGCTTCTCCTGTGGAAGGTGCCACAGGAGGGAATGCTTCAGGTTTTCCAGGGCTACAGGGCAGTGTGGCTGAAACCAGACCCCACAACAGTGGCACTCCCTTTGGGTAATAACAAGAGGCAAACCACAGCTGGATGTTGGCAGGCTGAATGGCTTAATTTTTTTAGATTTCTTTGTCATTCATGGGGCAAAATCCAGGCCTTCAGCCCTCAGGTAGAGTTGAATTTGGTGTGTGCTTTGTGTTTTAGTCCCCAAGACTTGTCTTGGACAAAATTTCTGACTTCACTGGTGGCTTTGCTTGAGGCTGGAAAGTTTCATAATTCACCTTTTAAATTAACCATGCTTTGGGGAGCTTTTGCTGTAAGGGGTTTGTTTGATCTGATGTGCTCTACTCAACTTAAGCCCGAGCTGGAGAATATTTGTTGCTCCTGTTCTCCCCATGGTTCTCACGCTGGAGGGTTTTTCTCTCTTCCTGTGAGAGCTTGGACACAAACAGTTCTTCATTTGCTGTCAGTTGTAGAGAGAACTCCTCTGGGCTGGGGAGTGCCTTAATGCCCAGCTGAGCTCCTGCCACCCACCTCCCACAGAGCTGCTGCCCAGCTGTGAGCAAAGATGCTCCATGACACCCAGCATCTTTCCTTTGGACTGAGTTGCATCTTCAGCAAGCATTTTCCCTCTCCGTCATGAAGCTTTTCTCCTTCCTTCCTCACGTGAATATCTCTGTGCTCTTGGATGCTGTCTGGGTGGAGGACATGCTGATACCCATTGCCAGGCTGCAATGAGGAGAGCAAACTCTGTATGCTTAATGCAGTATTAATAGTACATTGATGTGATATAGATTTCTGTCACCCTCTATACTAGCAAGCATCACTTATCACACAGGGATGACGGATGTTTATTCCCAGCCACTTAGCTCTGCATAATGGAATTGCAGCTGAAATATGGAGACCAGCTCCCTGCCTGTGGAGCTGCAGTCCCTCTTGCTCCCTCTGTGCATTACTGTCCCATGGGATCTTCTTGTTAACGTGTCCTCAAGGAGACAGAAATGTGTTCTTCACTGGGAATGTGCTGTCCTCGTGACGATGAGATGAAGGGCACAGGAGCCAGCTCTCATTTATGGCTTCCTGGGATTTTTGCAATTGTCTCTTACCCCCTTTCTGCTACTGCCTGTTTTAGAGGAGCAGGTGGCAGAAACGTGGCTTAAAATTCTCTTTCCCTTTCTGGATGAGAGATTCTCAAAGAGCCATGGAAGAAACCAGCACCACCCTGTTTTCTCATGATGAAGCATTGAGTCTTTGAGAAGATGCTTCCCCAGCTTTATGCTGTAACTCCATGACATGCTGGGCAGCACTGGGGTTTGTATCCAGTCCTTGTCTCAGCCCTGCCTGGGGAGGGTTAAGCAAAGAGTTTGGCAATGTGGACAGTCCAGCCACAAGTCAAATTCAGAAGAATAAGCTAAAACTGCCTCTTCCTCCTGCCCTTTTGCACACTGAAGAGAAACCAAGTGTATTTCTTTTTGGCAGACATCAGCAGGAGGAGCGACAGGTTGACAGGAGTTTGCACCTCTCTGTATTTGGAAATAAACAGATGAGAGCAGAAGAATGGGACTTGTGGCAAGCACTCTGGTCAGAGTAAATGATGAGGATGAGGGCATAGGACATAACATCAGCCTACAGTCAGAGGTTTTGGTAGTGCAAAACATGCCCTCATTGGTGTCCAGAAGGTGGCTATTAGTCCTTCTGGGCAGGATTGGCAGTAACAGCAGCTTCTTACCTTATCTCCATCTCTTGAAGTTCAGGGTTTTAACTTCCAAAACACAAGTTTTGTAATTATGAATAGCTGGAGATTTCTGTGGTGAAATATTAGTAATGTTTCAGAAGAATCATTTTGGAAGATTGTTTTACTTTAATAATAGCAATTAAGTAGTCATTAATTCTAAGCAATATGCATCAGATGCAGATTAGTTCTTGGACCTGATCTCTCAAGCTTTACTCAAATGCCACAGCACAGTTTTGGAGTTGTTCAGTTCCCTTGTATTTCTCATCTGACAAAGCAGGTCTTCTGGAGAATGAGACAAATCAGAGAAAAGAAATTCAAACCTCAATGGAAAAAAGTAATCTGGGGGGACAGGTCCCCATTTGCATCCCAGCAGTGGATGTTCAGTTCCCACAAGCACTGTGAAGCTAGACTTGTGGGGCAAAAGATTTGATTTTGGGGGAGGATTTTGCCAGACACAATCGGAGCTGGCTGTGTTTTCCAGGACTGGCGCAGTCTGGGGACTGGGATGCATTCTCCACACGGGTGGAGCAGCCGTCCTTTCGTACAGTCCTAATGAGGGTTTTTTTCAACCTCGTTTATTACAGGCTGCCCTGACATAATTACATATTCGAAGTTAGTAATTACACGTATTCATGCTAATTAAGTAATTAGATATAATTACACCAACTGTAAATACATGGTAATCGGCTAAAAAGAAGTACTTCAGAAAAAAACAAGGCAAATCACACAATAAAGGCGCCATCAGCACTCTTTCATTCAGTACCCTGCCTTTATCTTGTATTTCAGTGCAGCTTAAAAGGAACATTGTGGTCATTTCAGAAATCATATTTCTTAAACAAATAGATTTCCTTATCTCTGGTTCTAATAGGTCTTGAAAGCAGAAATGAAAAAGATATTTACCCTTACCACTGTTAATTTTTTTTGTTTGCCTAGTATGTTCTGTTCACCCTGGGCATGGGAAGATAAAAAGTATGCAGCATTTCTATTTTTGGTCAGTTCATGTTCCAATTTTTGCCAAAAACAACAACATGAAACTAAAGTCATAAGTGCTTTTAGTTTTATTTGCCTAAAAAAGAAAACTGAAACAGTTGGTAGTGAAAAGGAGAAAATTTTCCTTTTCTCCCTTTACTTATTTTTTTTTTCTGTCAGGGATAAGACGATTTGTCAAATATTCTTTTCATGCAATATAAATGTGGAGCCCAGTGTGAAGTGACAACAGCACTCTGCTGCCCCATGGCCAGCCTGGGGCTGGGCTGTGCAGGTCTCAGCCCCTCCCACAGTGCTCTGCTGTTTCTCCAAACTTTTCTTTTCTTCTTCTCTCCTCTAAGACAAAAGCTCCAGCTTCTTCTCCAGCAGAACCTAGCTCCCATTGCTCTTCTGAAGTAGGCACTTGTGGGTCAAGTCTCTTCTGCACTGGAGTTCCCACTGGCTTACAGTCTTGTCCTTCTCACTCAACCCACATGAGAT